AAAAAATTTTAAACAAAAAGTCGAAAAATGCACACGTGTGGAAAAAAGAAAAAAAATATTTTCCGTGAAAAATTTCGCCTATTAAACGGTCAAAAACTGAAAAAAGTGAAAGGCTTCCCCGAATAATGTAGCCTATTATCCAAAAGCCAACCAGAAAATTCCAAGGTTTCTCTCTTTATTCGACCTTTTTTTCCTTCCCTCAAATTCTCGTATCAAAAACCCATCCAATAAATAATCTCTTCTTTTCTCTGTATATCAATCATTTCTTCATCACTCTTTGCTTGGATCTGGTGTTAGATTGGATCACTTTTATTAGTTGCCCACCAAAAAGAACATTCTTTTTTTAGGTAATTTGCATTTATGTAGGTGATTATGTGAAATTCATGGATTTCAGTTGCTGGGTATTTCATTGTCTTCAAGTTTGTAATTTTTACGAATTCATTTATGGGTGTTGTGTAATTTTTATGTTACCACGTGTTTCCAATTGTTGGGTGTTGATATGGTTAAAGAGTGATCTGAATAATTTTATGGATTATATTATGGGCATTTTGGGATTGTTCTCTGGTATAATTAGCGAAGTAGGTGACAGTTTTAGTTGAATATCTTTTTTTTGGTTAAATTTTTGTTCAAGGGTTTGGGCTGAGCTATGAAATTTTGAAATTGAACTTCTTGTTTTTTATTAACTACTTAATTATGAATCAGTCTTCTTGGAGTCTATGTGATTGTGGAAGCTGGATGTTTTATCAGCAAAACTAGTACTCAACTTCCATTGGACATTGAATTTCAGTGGAAAGATATACATTTATATCGAGAAATGAATTTACCTTGATTAGATCAACCCAACCCAACTTATTTTTATGTGGTATTGAAATATGAATTCTTTCAAATCAAATACCCCTTTTGAAATGCAGAACTTGGTTGCTTTCATATGAAAAATTCACTCGTCATTTTTTGTTAACTAATCTTTCGTTTAATTTATTTTTATCATGTTTTACTTTCATATTGGCACGTCATTAGGTCTTTGAATTTTGTGAATACTATTTTCTACTTATATTTACGATTGTGTAAAATGTGAAATGCTGTGATTCATGTACAATTTTGTTTATGGGTCTATGTGTTTTGTGATAAATATATATATATATTTTTTAACAGATGGAAGATGATGAAAAGGTGCCTGAGAACCATTTGACGTCGGCTGCAGCTTTTGTGGAAGGTGGAATTCAGGAGGCATGTGACGATGCTTGCAGCATATGTCTTGAAGAATTTTCTGATAGTGATCCTTCAACAGTATGTATTAGGATAGCAGGTCGAATTGTTATGGATTGTAATTTACTTGTCAATTTAATTGCGCTTTTCCATTTGCAGGTGACTACTTGCAAGCACGAGTTTCATCTTCAGTGCATTCTTGAATGGTATGAAGATTGCTGTCACTGAAAAATTTCTTGCATCAAATAATTTATTGTGTGGATTTGTGATGCACTATGATTTCTTCATATCCTTGTAGGCAAGAAACTTATTGCCTCTTTATGCTGAATTGTTATAACTTTGATATAGGTTCAAAAACATAATTAGGAAATTAGATGATTTGGAAAAAAGTGTTTGGTTGAGTAGATGGATTTTTTGGTTGTCCTTTCTTGACAGTATAGAGGTGAATGAAATAGGTGATCCTGTGAAAGACATAAAGATCCAGCGACAAATTAATAGCACAGAATCAATGGTTATGTTAACGTGCATCCTCTTGGTCAAACATTTCGAATTGTTTTGGCATTAATGTTGTCTTAACTTCAGCTATTGTGAATTAAAGTCATCCATTTTGACGCATTGTCTTCCAAACTAATATATTTTTATTTTGTGGACCTGAAAACTTGGTTAAGTAGTTATTTTTTCCTATGTAGGGGGGTGAATATTTAAGGAAATTTTATATCGAAAATGGTATTTCTATTTTACGTAAAGCAGGCTTTTGAGAAAAAATAAAATTTGTCGATTCTTCTGGATGAAGTCCTGAGTTTTTATAGCGAAAAAAAAATAATATTTAGAATTTCTAGTCTAGATTTAGAAGTCAAGGTTAATGTTAATATGCAGCAATTTGTATAAGCAGTTTACTTTTATATACCGGATCATGCTACATGTACCGAATTTTTTTACCGAATCTTTTACCTACTACTCACAATGGGAATGTGGATCACATTATCGAAATTTTTAAATACACGCAGGCCGCTCATTATGTGAGAGGGGGTAATCCATTATGTACAAATGGATTAACCCTTTGCTTAAATCCCTACTTGTTCTGCTTTGTGGTAAATCTGGTTGCTTAATGGCACCTTCCTCGTGTTAATCAGTTAATGTAACTAATTCACATAACATAAAAGATAGCTACTCTAATGATTTATCCTTATCTTTCTTTGAATCTACGTATGTCATTTTCGAAAAGAAACTGATTTTTTTTCTTGGGAGACCCTGGGTTATATATCTATTGTTGTGTATTAGTATAGGATTTTGATAAAGTTGTTAAATATTTTGCAATAAATATTAGGTGCCAGAGAAGCTCCCAGTGCCCCATGTGTTGGCAAACCATCAGCCTGAAGGATCCTAGCAGGTATATCAATTCGGCTTTTACCCTCTTCTCAAGTTTGCACATCTGTTTCTTCTCAGTGATCTTTCTTGACGAGGGCCCTTGTTATGCATTATTTGGCAGCCAAGAATTGCTTGATGCTGTGGAACATGAGAGGAACCTGAGAATGAATCCACCTAGAAACACCACTATATTTCATCATCCAACCTTGGGAGACATCGAATTACAGCATGTTCGTGGTTCATTCCTACACTTACAAACATTTGCCCCATATTCATTTCTTAGTAACTCATGTTGAATTTACGAGTTTTCTTTAACTTCTTGTACAGTTACCAGTTAGTGGAAGTGATTCTGAACTTGAAGAACGTATTATTCAACACTTAGCTGCTGCTGCTGCTATGGGAAGGGCTCGTCAGCTTGGTAGGAGGGAAGGTCATAGGAGTAGGTCATCTACTCAAGGCCGTCCCCATTTTCTGGTGTTTTCAACTAATCCAAATTCTTCTTCTGCTTCTTCTTCCCCTGCTCATAGAGGTGGAGTCGGAACACCTCCTACAGTCATGATAGCTGGCCCAAATTCTCCATTTATTACTGTAGAAGATGATTCTCCACAAATTACTTCACGGCCATCTTCTGCTCAAGCTGATTTGGTTACAACCTCAGCCTCAGGATCAAGCGCTGTTGCAATACAACTTGGAATTTCCTCTAGCAATCAGTAACAGTGTTTCATGATTTTAATTTTAGTTTTTGCTAACCTCGTAGGAATCGGCTATGAGTATTTTTTGTTGTTCAGTACAGCTTAGTCTACAATTTCTCTTGCAGGAGGTCTCCTGCTCAGACTTCCCCTAGCAGTCAAGATATAGCTGGACCATCAGATTTGCAGTCATTCTCAGAGTCTCTCAAATCTCGCCTAGGTGCATTGTCAACAAGGTACTAGGAGACTGTGTATATCATTTGCTCCCCAAGTCCGATTTAAATGTCACACTACTCTTTTCGGGATATATTGAAATTGTTATCCAATTTAAGGTCAAATTATGTCTCTCGTTATTGACATTCAACTTAACTAGAAGAGCATAAAGGGTGAGAGCAGAAGAAAAGGTAATTCAGTGTAGTAGATCTTAAAAATCACAACCAAACCCCATAAAATTAGATTTCTATAAGGGGACTCTTAAGGGCCGTTTAGCTAAAAGCTGTTTCTGAGACTAAAAAGTTGCTTTTTGGCTTGTTTGGATCATTTTGTCTGGTTAGAAGGGTTTTTAAAGGAAGTTGGCTCAAGGTGGTTTCTTCAAAAAGCTCTTCTACAAAAAGTAGGAAGCAAAAGTCCTTCCAATTGGGCTCTTACTCTAGGGTAGAGGAGGCGAGTTTTTCTTTTGGCGAGTCTTTGGACTGAACATTTTGTTTTTATTTTCCTACCAGATACAAAGAGTCGATAACCAAGAGCACAAGAGGCTGGAAGGAGAGACTGTTTGCTCGCAATAGTTCAACGCCTGACCCTGCCACTGAAGTTCATAGAGATGTTGATCCAGGTTTTGCACCTGTATCCCGCATGATGGATCATCTTGATATAGCGGAAGATAGTAGAACCAACATAGCTTCTGTATCCAATAATACAGAGGATAGCTCAACTCCAGTTCCAGCTGAACAACACACCGTAGAGATGGATGGTAACTCTGGTTTGACCGATGACAACCCACAAGCTCCACGTGCTTCTAGTACTGCGACAAACTAAGTTTGGATTCTTTAGTTGCATCAACTCATCGGTTTCCTTTTCACAGTAAGCCTTGTTTTGGTTATCTATCGACTCTGGCGCATTCGATGTTTAATGATAAGATAAAAAAATAGTTCGCAAGATGGAATTCAATCGCAGGATTGTTTACAAGTTCTTTTGATCAACTAAGTTGGAACGATTTTTACTTTACGTTGTATTGTTATTTCTGGGTAATGGAGTTGATTTTATGTAATTGTTATCGATGTTTCTTTGTCGTCAGGTGAATTCCATTATTCGGAGATTTTCTCTGCTGTCATGATGCCTCCAGCATATGGTAATCGTAACTAAATCAATGTGTAAAGAGTGCAATCAGACTGTGTGGTCCAATAAACGAACCTTGCTCTTGATTTTCATCTTTGAGCCTATATCATACTGCAGTTGTAAACTGTTCTATGGTTTCAAGATCCTGATTTCTGAATGTATATCATGTTTGTTCATATGTTGGATTTTTGATGCGGACAAATTATTTGCTTTCAATTGTCCTTGTGTTCCCATAATTTCACTTTACGAGTCTAATCGTGTTGTTAACTAGTGATTTATATTGATAATATGCCTGTCTATTATTTATTGCACATTTTAATTACGAGTGTATCAGTGATAAATTGATTACGATGATTAAACTAGACTTTAAGGTCACGCGATAGAGTTTTGCACTTTATTTTCTTCAATATTGTTTTCGTTCCTTGCGAATTCTATTTTTTTTATTTTATATATAGATGATATTTGGATTGTGCAACTTCTTTTCTCAATTTTGTTTATGTTTTTTGAATATTTTTCTACTAGATTGTAATGTGTTTGAAGAAACACAAAATTAAAGAGCCAAGCTCGACATTTTTTGTATGTCTAGACGCCTCTAAATAATGTATTTTATTTAAATTTTATTGAGTTCAATGTTGTAGGAGTAAAATTTAGGGTAATTAGCACGTGACGTCCCCACCTTTAACTGTTATTGTGGAAAACGTCAATACTTTTCAATTTTTGGCATTTTCATTCTTATTTCCACATTTCATTGCATAAAAGGTCCTTTTTATCCATTTTCTCAATTAAAAATTGTGAAATGACAAAAATATTACTCCCTTTAAATAAAACAAAAGGAAAAATAAAAAAATTTAATTACAAGTATAGTCTCAACTTTTTTGAAAAGTGCAAATGAGTCCCAAATAAATTACTAAAAGGGCAATTGGCGCATAATGTCCATATCTTTCACTATTATTGTAAAAAACATTCGTACATTTTATTTTTTTGACGTTCTCTCTTAATTATAATTTGATAGTGCAAACCATCAGTTTTATCAATTTTCATCCAATTTCTCAATAAAAAATAGTGGGACGAGGAATATACCTTCATATTTAAATAAAAAAGCAAAAGAATTAATTGCAATCATTGTCCCAATTTTTTAAAAAAGTGCAAATGAGTCCCCAATAAATTATTTAAAAATTTTAATTTTTTTTATGAAAAGTGCAAATGAGCCCCAATTAAATTTATTTAAAAATTAAAAAAAATTAAAAGTGCAAATGACCCAAGTAAATTATTAAAAGAATTAGAAATTAAAAAAAGATATTTTTTATTTAAATATAAGTGTATATTCATTATTTCACAATTCTTTATTGAGAAAATAGATAGAAATGATGGTTTACGTTATCAAAATATAATTAATGGAGAAAATACAAGAAAAAATAATAGTGAAATATATGAACATTATGTGTTAATTACCCTTTTAATAATTTATTTGTGACTCATTTGTTATTTTCAAAAAAGTTGAGATTATGTTTGCAATTAGTTTTTTCCATTTTTCTTTTATTTTATTTAAAGGAAATGGTATTTTCGTTATTTCACAAATTTTAATTGAGAAAATGAATGACAATGACATTTTGCACAATGAAAGGTGAAAATAATGGTGAAAATACCAAAAAATAAAATATATGGACATTTTTCACAATATTGATGAAAGGTGGGGATGTCGTGTGTTAGTTACCCTAAAATTTAGCTAGTTTCAACTGTTTCGTCATCGATTTTTTTAATCAAATTTTGATACCTTGCTATAATTTAGAGGTTTACCAATTGCGAGACTTCAACAATGCATTGAGTTTGTATGATTTTTTGATATTTTTAAAATGTAACACTTTAAATTTGTAGTGATGCATTGAAGTTTTATTGTGAGACAACAAACGGGAGATCGTGGACAGCAAAATTAGACTAGAAAAACAAAAACAAGGAATTAGAAACTGAGAAAATTCAGCTAAACACAACATTAAACTCAAGATACAAAATAATCTCAATCGAAAGAAAAGTAGAACTTGCAGAAATTAAAAGAACACAAAGATTTTTCGTCCGAAGTCTCAAAGGTTCAATGACCGCTTTTAACACATAATTCCATGTTGAATATCCAATAAATAGGATATATGCTCGGATGCACTAGATAGCCAAAAATGACGACAAAGGTTATAAGGTAGTTCAATATTACAACAGATATAATTTACCGAAAACTTATCTTTCAATCACTTTGAAGATCGAATGCATATTTCATCAAGAATGCTCAAATCTCCAAATCCTAATATGAAGTTATACTAAGCCCCCGTTTGGTGCACATTTTGAAGGTAAGAATGCATTTTTACTGGTGATGTAATGGAGAATATGTGGTTAAAAAAGAAGGAAAATATTATTTTATTGAAAAATGTGTGGTTGAAAATAGCGGTGGCAACGAGCTGAGCCCGAGCCCGAGCCGGAAAAAAAAGCTCGGGCCGAGCCCGAGCTTTTTTTGGACCGAGCCGAGCAGGGCCCGGCCAAAAAAATGAGGCTCGGCCCGAGCTTTAGGCCCGAGCCTAAGCAAGCCGAGCCGGCTCGGTTTTTTTTTTTTTTTATAAATAAAAAATAAAACAAAAAAAAATGTACAT